TCCTTCCTTCCTTTTCCTTCCGTCCTTCCATCCAACACATCTCCGTCGACCACTCAGTCTCGCTCCCCCGCGGCGAGTGCAACTAAACGAGAACCCAAGCATCGGAGATGCTTTTGGGAAAAATAGGAGTTTTTTCCCAAACCCAGAGCATTCCCAGCAGTTCTCAGTTTCAGGGGATTCCAGGGCGTCCAATCAAGTTCGTCGCTCACTTTATTTGCCCATGATATGTATGTGTATATATATATATATTTATATTACATATAATTATATAATATATATATATATCACCACAGTTTTTGGGGATGAAACTGATTGATTTAAATTACAGATGGCAACTTGCGGCTTTTTGGGGTATCTCCTGTTGGTCTGCCATTGCTTACCCCTCCGCCGATCCGCTTCTGATAGCGCCCTTGTTGAGTGGAAGGTGGAAGTATCCATACACCAATGGTTGGAAATTCCCTATAAATAGCAGTGAGCCACATCAAGTGACCGCAATTCCCAAAGTCTCATTTGTATATGGTTATATCAGTTATATCATATCAAATCCCATCCACACTTCAGTCACTTTAGTCCAAAATCCATCAAAACGAAGGACCTGGGTCGCCTTCCACTTGCATCACCCGCTTGAAATTTCACAGGTCGATGAAGGGTATGAGCCACCGCAGCATCCTCGGGATGGAGTATGAATCCAACTCATGTTATCTTGTTCTCTCATGATATGATTGATATGTGTCTGCAATGTTTCTGATATCTTCTGCCATTTACGAAATAAAATTAAAGCAGAAATATCACCACCATTCCCTCCAAGCACGTCCTTGAAGTGTCGCTCGTTGTTTTCGAGGCCTTGCACATGGGCAGCCGAGACCTTAGGGGCTGCCCATTCTAGATCGATCGTGTTCCTGTCTGAAATGATCGGAGGGCACAAAGCGGTTTTGTCCAGATCAAAAAGTTGGGAATGTGATATGACATAATGTAACATTATGCGTACAATTATAGAAATGATAAGTTTCCCCATTCTTGAATGGCTATATCAATTGGTTCATTCCCCCTTTTGTGGACAAACCCAGGTGAGGTATGGTGAAGTGGGACTTGAAACCTGTGGGAACCTTTTGAGCATGAAATGTCCGGAAGCTTGGCAGATGTAATTATTCTGGAACCCTTCCAGAACCCAGAACCCTTCGTCCAGAACCTCCCAGAACGTTTTATGCAACTCGTTGAATCGCCGCAAATTGACTGAGTTCGGAAGCTGTATTGACCAACACTCCAAGGCTATACCGAGACTGTTGGGACCCAGTGAACAGTGCCAGGAGGCAATGATGGGTTTGCCGCTGCGACGCTTGTCTCCCTCCTCCTTGTCCAGAAACTTCTTTCCCTGCAAGGTGATCTGGCACAGCCTGGTGCGGAGATATCAATCAGAGTAGCTACACAGCACTAAGGCAGCTTGTAGTCACTGTAGTCGCTACTCTTCCTGGGGTTGTTAGCTCATCAGCTACTTAGATTACTTCGGCAAATCTGTGCCAATGTGCCAATCCCGTGCCTGAAGCACTCGGAGTTCACAAAGTTCACAAACGCGTAGCCAACGTTCATTCGCGTGGCTCGATCGATCCTTGGGTCCACGTTTTGCCTAGATCCTTTGATCAATCAACACGCCCTATTATTTGATGGCCATAACTTGGGGATGCATATAATATACATATATATATATTATTATATATATACAGTACATATGATTACTATTGATAGACAATATACAGCCCAGTTCATTTCATCCATTGACACGCCCGTGTTTCTTTCATAGCCCGCTCCAGCCGAGTCTCGGAACGTAAACAAAGTCATACCTGGTGATGCAGCAGGCACATGTCCCAGCTCACGGAGTCTTGTCTGAAATTTTGGGAAAACCTCAAGAAAATATTCAAAAAATATGGTTAATCATTGTTAATATCATTGCTAATCTATGTTGATCATCACATATCATCACGTTTTATCACTTTTCCACATCAAAATTGCCATCGATATGTTGGAGTATGAGTACCCCCAGGCACACCCCTGAGGTCCAAGAATATGATAAAAAAATGTGGAGCGATCGGGAACTTTCTGCAGCCAAAGAGCATGCCCAAAAAACCCAGCTGGTCAAGCCGCTCCACGAACTGTTTTCGATTCAGCTGGTTTGGGACGTTCCTCCGAGTTGGAGGATGGTTGGAAGGTGTTGGAATGCCATGTGCCTTGGCTCAAAAATGGGATAGCAATGGAACCACTATTCTGATCTTTGTTTTTGCAATAATTCGCAGAAGCGGAATTTTGGTTTATGTGCAACTTCCCTATCGGTGAACTCAAAAAACGAATCCTTTGAACAGCGTTCAACGCGGCTCCTGATCATGGCCGTTGTGATCTCGCAACTGTCAGTCCCGAACTCCTCCTGATGACACAATTTTGGATAATGCCCCAAGGCGCACCAAGTTCATCCAAATGCATCCAAATGCATTGTACAAACAACACGTCCATAATCTCTGGATATTCCTCCATCTAGATGCCTCAAGACCAAAATACATCAAAAACTCTCGCTGACATGTCGCAGACATCTCAACTCCCTTGCCTCTGGGCATCTAGAATCTTTTCAGTCGCTTGATATGTCTGCGAACTGTCTCATTTTGCTGAATTCTGCTCACACATGGCTTTGTGTGTCTGCTTTCCCTCAGGCAAAACATGATAAAGTTAACAATCTACCATCTGGTTATTTAACATAGCCATGGAAAATGGCCCATTTATAGATGGTTTACCTATGTTTACCTATTAAAAATGGTGATTTTCCATGGCTATGTTAAATAACCAGATGGTACAGTAATACAATCTATATGTTCGATCCCTGGCCCTGTCGAAACTCTCCTGAATGTTGATCCTCTTTGGAACCTTCTTGTGCCCAATGGGGCCGTTTGTTCGGCCCTGGGGCGCGCCTTCTGGACCGCCAACCTGGGGATCGAATATGCGACCCTTCAGGTCTTATTCAGTGCTGGATCCGTCCTAAGAATGGAAAGATTGGAAAGTATCACAAGCAAAGGCAACACAACCACCACCAACCAATGACATTGAACAAAAAACCTCATGAACCTGCGCGTCGCTGGCCTTGTTTGCATTGGGAGGCCTTAGCTGCAAGTCACCGAGTCCTGCCACATCATCTACCGGATCAAATGATGGTAGGATAATTTCAGTAGGGCCGGTCGGCTTTTTCCCCATTGCTCTTTGCACAGCCACTTCTTTTCGCAAGGTCCAGGTGGGTTAGTCAAGTTCCACTGCAGTTCCACTGTGCTTCGCTTCCTTGGTCCCCAGCGATGGATTCTTCAGCTGACCCACCTCTTTGGGTGACCCAAGCAGCCAGGGTCCATATCGGTCTCCATATCCCGTCAAATCGCCTGGCAGTTGTGGTTTTCAGGTCCAAAGCATCACATCAATGCCTCTGTGCTGCTTGTGTCACAGGCAGCTTGTTGGACATAACCCACCTTGAGTTTGTGACAAAGGCTGCTGCTTCTGACTCTTGCCAAGGCCTAGGGACCCCTTAGGGTATGTGGGGGGGGACCTTTCCATTTTCCTTTTTAAGGTGGGGTTGCCTACTCCTGTCCAATCCTGATCCTGGCTTTGGAGACCAAGAATGCCTAAACAAGCCTAAACAGTGCATCGCGCCATTTTATAGGGTGCACAGCCGCATGGTCAGGGCAGTGTTTTACCTGGGACTGGAAAGCTTTCTCAGGCTTCAACCTGGCACTGCGGTGGGTAATAAGCACCTTTGGGGCCATCCATATATCAATATTCCCACTTCATGTTGCGTACCGTGTCTCAACACTTGGGCAAACGGGACGGCCGGAGGTATATTAAAAACATAAAAGCTGGTTCACATTTTAGGTTTTGCCACCTTGATCCATCGCAATCTGATCCCGTTGTAGCGGATAGGTGCAAAGCTTTTTCAATTAGCTTCAAAATGGTTGATTTAAGCTTCCAAATCGTCGATTTTAGCTTCAAAATCGTCGATTCTAGCTTCACACGGTGCTAGGGCGACGTTAGGGCGACGTTAGGGCGACATTAGGGCGTCTGTAGGGCCTTTCCTGCAGCTAAATGCCGCATCACATGATGTGGCAATCCTCCAGGGGCCAACAACAGGGCACAACCGACCAGATTGTTTTTTCTTGTACCCAGCTTGTACTTTATTCTTTCCAGAGGCTATTCCTTTTCATTCCTGTTCATTTTTCTTTTTTGTTTTGGGACTTACAAACCTTAAGCACAATGAAATGCATAGAAGATTTCTTTCGCATTCCTATGCGTTTCATTGCTTTTAAGGTCTGTGAGTCCCAAGACATGATGGAAAAATGAAAAGGAATAGCTCTGGAAAGAAAAAGGTACGGAAACCTGTAGAAATGCTCCACGGACGGTCCCATTGCTTAGGGCCTCCGGCCCTAAACGATGGAGAGGCCCCCAGAGCGAGAAACAAGCATGTCTCTTGCTCTGGGAAGCGTCCCATTGCTTAGGGCCTCCGGCCCTAAGCGAAATCGACCATTTTGAACCTAAAATCGACCATTTTGAAATTAAAAGCGACCAAATTGAGCGCACCACCGATTGGATGGGTTTTTGGGCGGAAGCATCCCCATCGCTTAGGGCCGGAGGCCCTAAGCAATGGGACGCTTCCCAGAGCAAGAGACATGCTTGTTTCTCGCTCTGGGGGCCTCCATCGCTTAGGGCCGGAGGCCCTAAGCAATGGGACCGTCCGTGGAGCATTTCTACAGGTTTCCGTACCTTTTTCTTTCCAGAGCTATTCCTTTTCATTTTTCCATCATGTCTTGGGACTCACAGACCTTAAAAGCAATGAAACGCATAGGAATGCGAAAGAAATCTTCTATGCATTTCATTGTGCTTAAGGTTTGTAAGTCCCAAAACAAAAAAGAAAAATGAACAGGAATGAAAAGGAATAGCCTCTGGAAAGAATAAAGTACAAGCTGGGCACAAGAAAAAACAATCTGGTCGGTTGTGCCCTGTTGTTGGCCCCTGGAGGATTGCCACATCATGTGATGCGGCATTTAGCTGCAGGAAAGGCCCTACAGACGCCCTAATGTCGCCCTAACGTCGCCCTAACGTCGCCCTAGCACCGTGTGAAGCTAGAATCGACGATTTTGAAGCTAAAATCGACGATTTGGAAGCTTAAATCAACCATTTTGAAGCTAATTGAAAAAGCTTTGCACCTATCCGCTACAACGGGATCAGATTGCGATGGATCAAGGTGGCAAAACCTAAAATGTGAACCAGCTTTTATGTTTTTAATATACCTCCGGCCGTCCCGTTTGCCCAAGTGTGAAGTTAGGGCGACGCTAGGGCAACGTTAGGGCATCTGTAGGGCTTTTCGTGCAGCTAAATGCAGCTAAATGCTAATAAGCTTTGCACCTATACACAGCTTACACAATCGGTTGCGCTTTTGAGACATGCCGTAGCCTGGCCGTAGCATCAACATTGTGGCCTGATTTTGGCTTTGTTTGTTTTGCTTACTTTTTGAAGCCAGTTGAATCCAATGATTGGTCTTTTGGGCCCTGACCTTGCCCGGAACCTGGTGTTAAAACTGCAGCGGATAGCACCGCCGGATGGGAAACCCTTGAAAAAAAAGATTTTCCAAAAAATGAACCCCACCGGCGTTTTCTTTTACTAAGTGGGTAGCTAGGCCAAGGCTCCAGTCTGCTTCAATTCATTTCAATTCCACATACCCCGTCAAAAATTCCAGCCAAAATCCAGCATTTTTCAACTTCCTCCGCCCAAGGATGCCCAAGGCACTTTGCAGCGTGTAGAGATCCAATTTCACTGGACCACAGCGCAGATCCTATGGACCATGGCAAGCTGCATAAATATTCGTTTGGGGACCATGGCACCTCCGGATGTATCTCCAGGAAAAGCTTGTGATCTATGGCGTATCAGGAAAGGCTTATCTCTGACTGGATGATCTGAAACTTTGACCAATACCCCTAGCGGGCCTTACCCAAATAGATCGAAAGTTTTCCCAGGATGTTATAGATGATGCCCTTTGAGTTTCCAGGTGCCCAACATGTTTTGTCTATTTAAAGGTTGCGAGAAATACCATCTTTGATGATGGTTAAATAGTTAAATCGTGTTAAATCCATATTTCATGATCGTCACATCCCCACCAGTGATGGTTCTATCCAAATATAATCATCCTGAATCATCATGAATAAGCATTCATCATCATAAATCCCTATCCTAATTATTGGCAATGAAAGTCTCCTGTCCTCCTGAAGCTCCTCAGGAATCTGTGCCAGACCTCCACAAAACATGCCCAAAAACCGCTGTGGAACTGCATGCCGCCAGGTTGAATCAGGCTCCATTTGATGCACTTTTAACTCTGATGGTCCTGATCTTAATACAAGACATTGACACCTCAAGCATCCGTTGAGCATCATCTGTTTTTGATTCTAACTTGTTCACTTGATAATACCAGTACATATACTACTAGATGGAGATATCATCAGAATATGACCGATTTTTTTCCGGAACATGTCATTGATATGTTCCTATCATTTTCGACCACTGAGCAACATCTCTTGTCGCCTTCATCAGGCCATGGAGGGGGTGTTGTATTCCTCAGGGCCGGCTATGGGTGCTCCAGGATCAAATGATTTTCTTATGGGATGCTGAACACCAAGAAACTGACTGAAATTGCTGGATCCCAAGGTCTTGAACTTTGACTCATACCGACTCATACCCAGATACAATAAAACCATATAAAACCATATAAAACCATGAGTCATCCACCATTCTTAATCACTTCTTCGGGAAGTCCCTTTCACCAGCCACGCAGGCACTCCAGAGTTGGTGTCTCAAAAATCATAGGAGCTAAGCGCAGCTTTGGATCACAACAGACTGGAAGAACGATCCTTCAGAATCTCCGACTCCTGTCATCGCGAAATCGGTGAAAAGACTTTGATTCAGAAGGCGAGATGCGCTTGTGTGCACTGGAAATACGTTGCAGTTGCTATGAATATTATGAATGACCCTGTTGAACCGTCGGTCACTGCTGCTCCATACATCCATGGAATCCAGGGTTGAAAGAGGACCCACCCTGCCATTGCCTGTGGATCTGTACTCCTGGCAGGTGATGGATCTGATGCTTTACGGTACAGGAATGTACAGGATATCACAGGCAGCAAGTCGACCCTTGGCCGAAATCCTATCCGAAATCCGATCGAATGATTTTCACAACTCCTAGGAATCCCAGAATCTGTGGCCCCTTATTTTGGGTCGATCCACCAGTTGGGTTTGTCCAAAAACGGATCAATTTTGGGGGTACAGTACCCCTTCCCCGTTCGGCTATAAAAACACCCCGGGGACCTCATCGGGGAGGTTTAGGAGAAGTTGCTCAATGGCAGGAAGATGCAAGGCTGCCCAACCTCTGCTGGCGTCAGTGCTGGGGGATGAACTGCACAGGAGGTGGCTGTCATTTTGGACAGTGTGAACCCCCGAAATCTGTTGGCTCATGTTCCCACGAAGGTACTGGAAAGAGGGCATGATATCAGAATATATCAGGTGATTCCCTATACTAAGCATTACTAAGCCATTCAATTTTCATCCTGAGCCATTGCTTCGTTGGGTCCCGGCCAATTAATTCATCAATGTGCTGCTGGGGCGCTATCTACGTGTGGATCCTCCATCCAGCAACGATGCTCCAGCGATGGTTCCAGCAGTCACTGGAGACAGGCCTTCAAAATTGTGTTGAAAAAACTCTGTCCTATAACTTGAGCTCAGATTCAAGGCAGCCAACGTTCACATATATGGCATGGGGAATGTGAGTAAATAAGGACCATCCCATGTGGACGCAACAGAGACATGCAGAGACCACAACAGAAATGCCTCACCTAGGCCTTAGGATTATATAGGATTATCATACCCATGGCAGCGGATATGCTCAGTTCCGATTGGATGCATGCCATCTCGATCCATCTCGCCCAGACTGCTCCCTTTCTGAGGCAAATCAAGGTCTGGTTGCGCCTCCCGGTCAGAGGCTGTCAATTAACGTTGAAAAAAGAGACGATGCGAGCGCAATTCGCCATGCGCGGTCGTATGCTCTTTGAACGCGGAAGCTTTTCTAGTCCTTCTGGTGGCATGTGTTGGAATCCCTACGTTTTAGGTGCATGTAAGGCCTTTCCAATGAGAAGGTGAACTGGTCAATAGACACTGTTGATTGAAATTGAAATCAATTTTCCGAAGGGCTCGGGAGGAATATCCTCCAGTTGAACGCCTATGCACAAACTGACAGTACCAACTGTCGCTGAGCAGATTCACCAATCAACAGCTGGAAGTTTGAGAAATCACTTCTTGAAAGACCAGAGAAGTGTCATCACCGATTCCCTCAGCAAAACTACGCACTGGTGCAGTTCGGTCACCCTTTTTTCCTTCAAGGAGAAAAGGTTCAGAGGCACCAGCTGTCGCCAGCTGAGATCATCGCTAGACCTCACGAATGGTCTTATTGTGCACCATTTCAGCAGCCTTGTTCCTTAGAGTCACGTCAGAGACTACGACCGTCAGGGAAACCAGTTGCCACATCTCGCTCTTAAAGGGGCCAAAAGGGGCGCTGGTTTCAGTTGAGTCGTTGCAACCCTGGTGATATCCCCCAGCAATTGGAAGGTTGTATCCCCCTGATTGATAAATGGAAAATGGATGAACAGGGCGGATTTAGTTCGATGATGTACCTATGAATTTAATGGTGTCCAGCTCGCAAACTGCTAATGGTTTGATCCTACTTCCAGGATCTTCCAGGTTCATGGACCAAGTGGCTGGGCTTCACGTTGCTCCAAGATCACTTGCATGCGTTGCTTCACGCTTGGCTCATCCTCTAAACAGCTCTGGAAGTGACCTCATTTCCAGCAATTTCCCACAACCTCCTGGTCAGAAAAAAAATGGCTTGGGATGGGTTGGGATTTTGACCCCGTGTTTGGGGGTGTAAAAAAAATGCCCCAGCATCATGGCAACAACCATTCGCCTGCACAAAAAGATCCTTCGATGATGGCCAACATGTGCTGCACAACAATGATCCACTTCATTTCGGAGAAGGGGCTGCAGTTCATTCCTCAACTGCATTTATCCTTTAGCCTTAAAAAAACAGCGCCATGCTTGTCACTTCAGCCACAGCCACTTGGCTTTTGCGGATGCCAAGTGTCTATGCCGAAGCTCCAGAACATATGCTAGCTCTGAGGAGACAGTAACAGTGGCGCTTGCATTGGTGCCCTTGAGCATAGTATACCTTGGAAACAGTTTGCTGTTTAGTTCATGCCATTCAAGCAAAAACGGGTTACTTCACCGTTCATGATACCGTGGGCAAGTGGGCAAGTGGGAGTCTGAAATGTGCTGAGCTGTCAAAGTGTTGCTGATGAGTTTTTTCCCCATAAATCTCAGGGAGTATGCACTTGCCATGCAAAACAACTTTGACGAAGAACTCGCAGGGATGAATGGATCCATGGATCAACGGATCCAATAACATCGTATGCCATTTGCAAACAGTTCATCTATCATTTAAGCCCGAAATGGTTGCAAACATATTTATGGCATACCGTCATTCCTCCATTGTTCTGGAGGTTTCAACCCACACTGGACTGGAGTCGAATCCATCAGCGATCTTTCAAACGACCAACCATTTGGAGTCGCCACAAGAGTTAGAACTAACTTGTTTTTCCGGTGAAAAAGATGTGCTTCATGATGTCCAGGTTCAACTTTTCTGTGATGATATGTGATATGTGCCAAAAGAATCCAAAACTACGCCAAGACCATTGGACCATTGGCTCTCCTAAAAATCACCGACATTAGTCTCATGACTTTAGGGTTTGTGGTCTATTTTCAGAAAGCCTCTTGTGGAGCTTGCTATACTATTAGCGTAGCCTCCTCCAAGATTGCCGCTGTTCAGTGATTTGAATCTAGGAATTTTGCCTGTTGGCTAAGCTAAACAATGGTTTAATAAATCACCCATGACTGGGAATGGGAACCATACCAATCATACCACCTACAAAAAATGGTGACTGGGGGCTGGTAAACATGGCATTGTTTTAACATCCACCATCAATCGCAACCACCGCATCCGCGTCGGGCTGCAAGCCCACCACTTGCCCAGGCCCTATGGTCGAGATCTTCTCGCCTTTCACGGTGACCTTCAACGCGCCATGGCCTCATCGAGCCAACATGTCATGGGGATTCACACATGAATGGCTTCAAAAACTTGGATTCATGGGGATTTGTAGGGATTTAACCATCAAATATGGTGATTTCATGGGATATATACCTGTTAAGTGATGAATATTCTTCGATAATCAAACATGGCTAGCTTGGAAATCCCCTGCCATGTAGATTCACCACTGGTTGGTGGTTTTTCGCCCTACCCCTCTGAAAAATATCACTTCGTCAGTTGGGATGATGACATTCCCAATATATGGGAAAATAAGAAAATGTTCCAAACCACCAACCAGACTAATAATTGAAGGGGGATACAACATGGGGACTTCTCGGTCATGATTGATACAACACCATCCCAAAAATCTACCATGGAGCCCAAAAATTCCGGTACTATGACAAAAAAAATATTGTTCAGGAGCTAAACTTTTTTTTCAGGTTTGATGCTAAACTTTGGGGGTTCGACCAAATCCTACAGGTTGGGATGGCTTTGGGATTGGGAATGTGGGATTAACCCAATGCCACCTTCATATTGGGATTGTTCAACCAATCCATTTCTGGTGGAATCGGGGATTGGTATTCTTGGTTTTCTCACATGATATCCCGACCAAATGTTGAATGTGGGGATTGTTGCAGGTTTACAGTAGGATTTATATACCACATGACCCACCCATGTCATCCCCTATTGTCAAGTTACCAACCACGAAGATCGCGCTGTTCTCAGAGCCTTCTTCGATGAGCACAGTGCCTCTCCGCGCAAAGACTTTCGCTCCAAAGGACAGCCTCCGCCGATGCAATTGGACGGGCCTGGACTGGGTTTGTCGCCAATTGGGGATACCTCAGAATGGCAGCTTCTATGGTGAAAATGTTGATAAATCATAGGGGGTCGAGGGTTGCACATCTTGAGACAACCCCAAATGACTACAACAAGACATGAGGAATCTGTTTCACGCTATGACATACCGTGACTTAATGAAAACACATCCGGCACACAAGCTACCAATGCCTGTGGATGACATCTGAGGCAACACCTTTCAGCAAGTAGCATCCCTCCTGCAAATGCTGACAGGGCAAAAGGGTGTGAATAGTTTCGCATCATTTAATGGTTAATATGGATTTCCATACTGGATGAGATAATCCAAAATATACTGGGCAGTATAAATCCCCAATAATCATGAACCGAAGAGTGTTGTCAACACACTCTTAATGAAACCATTGGACCTTTAGGATCCATCGGTCAAGAACCCTCTCCTCCATGAGGCTCTGAAAGTCAACCCTGCCAGCAATGTTCCACATTTGCTCGTTCCAGTTGTGCTCATGGATGTAGGCAAATTCACGATCCTCGTGCAACAATGCAACAAAAAACATGTCACGTCTGTTTGAAATGCCCTAAACCAGTGGGATGTGTGATGTGTGGTCTTGATTCTTTTGGCCAACACCTAGCTGTACCAATTTTCCAACTCAACTTTTGCCAGTGTTTCTCTCTTTGCTGCTTGGATGCTCCAGTTGTGCTGCAAGAAAGTTCATTCCGTGGTGCCTGACCCTGCGGAACCACTTTCCATTCAGTTCCTGGAGCGTTGGCGCCACCAGTCGCATCGTTGACCCTTCAAGAAAATCAAAAATCTGCAGGTCACCTCTCTTGGTTGATGGTTATATCTATGCGTATGTATATATATATATGTATATATATATAATTATATATACATACAAACGTGCGTATGTATGTATGTATGCATGCATGCATGCATGCATGCATGCATGCATGCATGCATGCATGCATGCATGCATGCATGCATGTATGTATGTATGTATGTATGTAATGTATGCATGCATGCATGCATGTATGTATGTATGTACGTACGTACGTACGTACGTATGTATGTATGTATGTATGTATGTAATGTATGTAATGTATGTAATGTATGTAATGTATGTAATGTATGTAATGTATGTAATGTATGTAATGTATGTAATGTATGTAATGTATGTAATGTATGTAATGTATGTAATGTATGTAATGAATGTAATGAATGTAATGAATGTAATGAATGTAATGAATGTAATGAATGTAATGAATGTAATGTATGTAATGTAAACTTTCTGTGCAATCTTGGTTCTTGGTTCTTGGTTCCAGTGAGGTCCTAGGACCTCCTAAGACCTCTTGATGCCAGAAATATCATGTCTCACAAGTTTGTCTACATCCACGGTTTTATATATATATATACATGGTTTAACAAGTTATCTGAAAAACACTAGCTCAACATTAGTATGAATTATACTTAAGACATAGTCTGAAAGGAAGAAGAACTAAGAGGTCCTAGGACCTCCTTGGAACCAAGAACCAAGAACCAAGATTCCCAAAAACTTTCTGTGCAATCTTGGTTCTTGGTTCTTGGTTCCAGTGAGGTCCTAGGACGTCCTAAGACCTCTTGATGCCAGAACCATCATGTCTCACAAGTTTGTCTACATCCACGGTTATATATATATATATATGGTACTCCCCCTCGAAACTATGTCCAAATTTATTTGAAAAAAACGTTAAAAAAATATATACCCCAAAATATGCAAAAAACACCGTAAATACCGGTACAGATACAAAAAGGGTAGGTACAGGGGGGGGGGGCCACCATATCATATATCATGTATATTGTGTATATCATATATAGTATATATATTATAGATCAATTATAATATACATATGATAGGTATATATGTGATATATATATATGATATTATATATTATATATATATATATATTATATATAAATATGGTACATATATATGGTATGTATACATATATATATATATTGTATATACTAAATCATGTATATATTATGGATATATTTGTTTAAACAAAAAAACTATTATATATTATATCTTACTGTAGGTGCCGGAATTATAGAACGGAAGTTGAGGAGTACGAAGGTACGGTTATTTACCGTACCCTGTTGTTCTATAATTCTGTTCTCCTCGGAAGGTGTGAAAAAAAAAAACATATCTGAATTTACTCCTAACTTTTTTCGTCGTTCTATAATTCTTGTCGGAGCGCTGCTGTTCTATAATTATGTGTTCCCCCATTTTTCTCACATTTCCCATTTTCGTTCTATAATTAATGTTTCCCGGGCCCCGTTCTATAATTAATTTTTCCGTCGAACGGAAAAATTAATTATAGAACGCAAAAATTAATTATAGAATTATAGAACCTCTTCCGGGGTCACAGAAATCCTACAAAATCACCATGAAATCTAAGAAAATCACCGTGAAATCCCATAAAATCACCATGAAGTCCCATAAAATCACCATGAAATCCCATAAAATCACCATGAAATCCCATAAAATCACCATGAAATCCCATAAAATCACTATGAAATCCCACAAAAACATGAAATCTCAGAACATCACCATGAAATCCCATAAAATCACCATGAAATCTAAGAAAATCACCTGGTAAATGTGGGAAAAATGGGGGAAAACGGATTTATAGAACGGAAGTTGAGGAGTACGAAGGTACGGTTATTTACCGTACCCTGTTGTTCTATAATTCTGTTTTCCTCGGAAGGTATGAAAAAAAAACATATCTGAATTTACTCACTAAATCTTCATTTTATAGATTGTATATGTACAAATATGCAGTAAATATCATGTCAGTGCCAGAAATTATAGAACGGGGAAATTTAATTATAGAACGGGGAAATTTAATTATAGAACGGATCCCCGTTCTATAATTAAATTTCCCGACTCCGCGCGGAATCGGAACCCGGAGGAGTACAAAGGTACGGTATTTTACCGTACTTTTGTACTCCTGGCTCCGTTCTATAATTCTGGCACCCGCTGTATCCATTATTTTATTATATATATATATTATATTACATGGTGTATATCAAAAATATTATTCATATTATATTATTTTTTCTATTAAAAATAGTATGTTTTATATATTGTATATATGATATGTATATACATATATTTAATATATTCAATATATTAAATATAGTACATATATATTATACATGTTATATATATATTATATATATAATACATTGAATATATTCAATATATTAACGACTATATTACATATATTATATATCATAAATATATATTGAATGTATGGAATATATTAAATATATTACATATATTGAATATTATATAGATTATCAGTTATATTTTTTACATATCATATACTATATATTGTATAAATTATTTATTTATATGATATATTATATACAATGTATAATATGTTATATATTATATATTATATATTATATATTATATATTATATATTATATATCTTATACCATATATTATATATTATATATCATATACTATATGTTAAATATTATATATTACATATTACATATCAAATATTGTATTATATCATATTGTATTTTAGTTTATATCATTTCATACTAACTAAGTATTATATTATATATAGGACACAGCCAGGTCTTCACTGGGCCCACCTTCACGTCTCAGCCATGCCAACGGTGCAGCGATGGGCGCCCATCTTCTGAGCGAGGGATACCAAGTGGCGAGGCACAGATAAGTTTAATGTATGTGATGTATATAATATTCATAAATCTATATATATATGTATGTATATATGTATGTGCATATAGATAATTATCCTGAAATAGATAGAATATGGGATGTTCACAGATATAACATGATATAACCATTTGAAAAGGGGATGTCAAAATTACCATATTCATCCATATTCTATCTGCTCCAGGATGATTATGTACACATACACTGTCAGGCAAGGCAAGTGATGATTGTGGCTGGATATTCTCATACTAAGAGATATGCTCAATTGATCGGTTTGTTGGGAAGATTTGCGGTTGACATGACACGCTGGTTGGAAAGTCCAGGTGTTCTTCATCCAATTCTTGGAAATTGCTAGGGGATTATCATTGGAAATCATAACATCAAACCAATGCAATTGGCGAGGGTCAATACAGTCCATTGCCCCCAGAAATCAAATAATATATGATGTTGAGTTTGGGGACCAAACAAATTGGATAATTGGCTTTGTTTAGTGTTGCTAAGGATGGGACTGTTCCGAAAAAAGGTCGCCCGGGTCTGGGTCAAGTCATTCGGATACCAATCGAATTGGTTGCTCATCATCATCATCATCATCTTATTATTATTATAATTCATCTTCATCTGCATAATCATCGTCATCACCATCTGCACCTTCATCTGCATCATCATCATCATCATCATCATCATCAAGACATCCATTTTGATTGGTGTTAAGTTTTGAGTCCTAGCATCCCAGGCCAACCTTTCTGGTCACCTTGGCATGTCACTCGCCAAGACTCAGCAATCTGGAGGCTGCTCTCATGATCCGGAGGCTGCGGCTAAGCCGGGAAGGCTTGAGCCTGAGCCCTCTGGCCGCGGTGGAGAAATGTGAATCCCCCAAGTGAAAATGTGGCTGTTACCACGTCATCGTTGACTTCAACTATCTCCATCAAATCTACACTTTCAGTCCATATTGACCGTTATTTTGTTCACATGTTTTCCAGCTTCCACTTGCAAGAGCCCATCTTTTTGAGTTTCTGTCATTGGCATCGCAACCACCCTGCACCTGAAGTTGCGCTTCTTCCTCCGCCACCAAGCGCTCCTTCCAACCTGGCAAATCGCTCAGTTCCATGTGGGGATGGGTCAAAATTTACTGTACGTTTCGTCTTGTTTAGTTTTGACCATACCCAATTCTAATTATAGGATATTATAGGGGTACCCAATGAATATTGAACTATCAATGGTGATGATAATGGTTAGTATTACCCTCTGGTAATTTAACCTAGCTATTGAAAATCACCATATTTAATGGTTATATTTGGTTATATCATATAGCTATGTTAGTTTACCAGAGGGTAACCATCCAATTATTGGGGTACCCAATTTGACCCATACCCCTTGGTGAATTTTGTCGGTGAAATATGGTGAAATTGGAAAAATCAGACCTCCCAACGTCTTGCAGGTAAAATAGCAATATGTTGCAATGGAATTAAGTTGTCCATGTTTAGAGCCCATCATGTCAGCTACCCCCAAAACGAGCAAACAAATCAGAAAGGAAAGATCCTACAGAAATAGTGATGCAGTACCCTCCAGTAAAAAATCATTCAGATCGATATTTCAAAACTTGCATCATGTGCATGTGGGAAACCATGGGAAATCTCCAGATCTATGTTGTGCCTGGGTCCACCGGTACCAAGTCCTCAGTGTGAAAATGCGGGAAGTTCCATGGAGAAAACCCAAGGAAAATCATGAAAAAGGTTGGAAAGTCGAAGTCCTCTGAGTTTCTCCCCTGGCATCATGCTACTTCATGATGTCAGCCTCTTCTGCACACACACACTTACACCAGCAAGTGTACCTACCTTAAACTTACACTTCTTCAGAGCCCAGGTGGGAATTTTTCAAGGTGCTACTGCTACACATTTGATAATATTGCTTGGAGCTATCCCTGTGACACATTGATAGGACATGGCAGAACGATACCATCAACTGTGTTTGTTTTTCCCAGGTATCGGTATCACCCCATGACCCACCAAGGTAGCGACCACAGCCATCTTCCCTGGCGACATCATGCATGAATCTTCGAATCTTGATTTGTTGATCGACGGATCAGGCGCCCTTCAATATTGGATGACCAAAGACCTCGGGTCAATATTGGGCTTTAAATGTTGACCCATACCATCCCATACCCGTATCTGCTTGATTTTGCAAGCATCAAAGAACTTCTTCCAAGAGTGTCCTGCAGAGTCTAGCAGTGGTAGTGACGGAAATGCATGACCTCACCTCCATTCTCAATCACCATCAGCTGAAGCTTGTGCAAAATGCTAGGGTCATCAATTGGAAGGTCAGTTGTGCCAAGGCCGGATGTCAAATCACAAGAAATGATTACGTAGACCATCAAGTACGATAATGCACTATACATAGTACATTGTAGTACTATATTATCAGTGTTGGTCCAGAAATCGGGACCATGGTATACCCCAATTTGGTGACCATAAAATCCTGGGAAAATATGACGTTCTCAACCACCAGGTCTTGGTGTACTCTGTTAGACTCCCATCCCGGAAACCCATGGTTCCATGGGCCGGCGATGGGGCAGGTCACGATTTTTAGTTCACTCCCAAATGGATCCAAATGGAATGTTTTTGGTAAACCCCCCTTTGGAAAATTCAGAAAATATTAGGAAAGTATAGTTAGAAGACGAGTTTAAGGGGCAAAAACTACTGTTCTATCTTTTTGTGGACTGCTATCATTTTGGAATATGAAAAATGGATCCCTGGATCTAGGATCGACACCCCTGCCTTGGACGCGTTTCTTCACGTCCTCGATCGATGGATCACTGATATCTGATATCTTGAGAAAGTGTATTAGTGATTATTAGATCAGATATTATATTGGTCAACGCTAATAATGGCTAACAATTAGATATCAACTGATATTATATTGGTCAACAAATATTAGTGTACTATTAGTCAACAAACAACACTGATATCATTAGTTCCTATTGTTTCTTTCCAAGAAAAAACGTTGTGGCCTGCTGATTTTCCCGGAAATCTCCACCGTCGCACCTGGATGCGGAAAAGCATGTTGCTGCAGGACAACTTTGCCTGGCTGACTGGCTGGTTATGGCTGGTTTTTCCCATCCGAAAGTTGAGACATTCGGAAAAAAGAAAAAAACTTGAAATCTCAACTGCTGTCTAAACTGGTGTCAGAACTTTCTGAGTTGACTATTAGTTGACATATGTATGACATATGTGCGAAGGGCTCTAAATGATTGACTCCGAAACAATGAATCCTGAAATGACCAATTTTGTGGGGTTCACTGGCAATCATGTGCTCTGAGGCTGCCTTCCCTTGGAAGATTGGCAAGGCATCCAGATAGCATTTTGATGCATGTTCTGTTCTATCATGTTTGGAATTTCTGAAGGTCAGTTCTTCATAAGTTTCACCAACCGGAGGGCTCCCCGGAGGCTCCGCCTGAGCACCCAGTGTGGCCACTTGCCAGTCAGCTTGTTCAGACAGCGTCACGATCACCACCTGTGGCTATGGATTGTACAGCCTCACGTGTTGACACCAGCGGCGGATGCTTTACCGATGCTGCTACGCCAAGAAACCTGTTTTAGAAGTTAACCTTTCTGAGTGACAATGTCTTGCACCATGGAAAGCTCTTCCACCAAAAGCTTTTACACCGCATCACACCAAAACTAGTTGACACCCAGCAGCCTACAACGGGATGTTCAACACCTTGAAACTCAGACACCAAGAAAGTGTCTGGACCACAGTTTTTACGCCTAGCAGCAAACCCTTACGCAATGTTGCCAGGAACTTTCTCCATCAGGATGTTTTACGCACAGCCTTCTACAAAAGGAAGCTTTGATGGTTTTGCTCTACTAAGGCGTGCTTGCACTTTAAGTTGGTTGCGGTACCTGGATTACACCAGGACTATATAGAATCTATATAGATAAACACCATGAAACACCATGCTTTGCAGGAGAAATCTCTTCGTTTGCATTGCGCTTTCTGGAGCAAACTCAGCTACCGTTTACTCCAGACTGTTCACATGGAAAATTGCCCAGAAGCTGTAAGCAAAAGGTGCTGCTACAAACAGCTCAACAGGGGGCATTTGGTGATCCGATTCCAGCCTGCTGTGAGCCGCGCTCGGAGGTAGTGACCTCATGGACACGTAGCGCCGGCTGTGGCGAGAGGTCGCACGTTGCCTCCTCCGAGTAGGCTTCGTCATCCTGCACCAAAGGATCGCAGCCACCAGGCCGCCAGTCACCATCAAGTGGGGGGATTTCATCAGTCAAGTGCTCAATCATCCAAACCCATGAATCTGGGTAAATTATAATATTTCACTAACCTGAAATAAGGCCATTTGGGGATGATTTCCCTTACTAACCATGATTTCCAGTGAGGTCGTAGTGAGGTCGTTATAATTTACCCAACGCTTCTTGGTCCCAGGGTTCATAGCCCCGTTATAATTTACCCAGATGAATTCTCATATCTTTTGGGGGAATTTATGGTGGTGTCATATGGTGTCCATCCATCTCGTTGCTTTTCCTCCACGGCTTCAACTCCCATCACGAGCATCGGAAACGGGTACCAAACATGCTGGCTGGTGCATTCGATGGCAGAAATCTTGGAGATAGTATGAGATCTGATCTGGAACGTATAGAATAACTTTGCCGCTCCCCTGCAGTAGGTCACATGCATATAAAGTCTACAACTATATATATATAATTTAATATGCTGTTTTCTTCTGTTTTCTTCCCCAACACACATCTATCATGCTGCCATCTCTGTATTCCATCGCTCTTCAGCGCAATCAGCTCACATGTCGGCACTTCTGCTCATGGGTCTTTCTTTTAAAGGCTGGGCGACCCAGCAGGATGCGAATCCCAAGTGCAGGCATGGCAGGCACTGCCGGAAACTGTACCACTGTACCACTGTACTAGAGAGCACTCCAAACCCAAGTGCCTTGGTATTCATCGTGTTCATCCCTCAGGGGTCGATCTTGCAACTTCTTCAAAGCTGTCTTGATATCGATACCTGGCTGCCAATTAGGATCACAACCGGTGCACATTGCTTCCACGAAACCAAACAACACTTGAGCCTTGAAGTGGTTGCTGAGCCATGGCCCTGCTCTCAAGCCCATTCTGACTCCAGCCGAGGAACCTTTGTGAATAACTTCGTAGACAGAAGCGCAAATTGGCATTTCAACACCAAGTTTTTCTGCCAGCAAATGGACTGCCAGGCTCGTCTTGACGCCCTCTGCCACTGCCAAATCTTTGTTGAAGTTCTTTGCAGACTCGTCTTGGCTTCTCCTGACGCTTTGGATCGTTGCTGTGGACATCTTTCGCAGGGATTTTCGGAAGGGGTGTTTCTCTTCTCCACGTCTGCGCTCTAGCTGTGGTCTTCAATTTTTTTGGTGGGGTCCGTTGGTCAGACCTTCCAAAATATGTTTGTCTGACCAAACACTCACTACACTGAAGACCGATGATACGACGTCGAAGGAAAAAATATTGCAAACGCTAATCATAGTAACACATTCCAAATGGCCTTGTCCGAAAATTGGCTACCCCCCAAATCCCATGGCTACTCTCGAGTTACCCCCATTTAAAAAAATGCAATTTTAAACCACCCAGTCATCCCCCTTGTGTCCAAGGCTCTTGTGCTCAGGAACGGCGTTGGATGCCATCGCATGGCCCACGGAATAGTTTCTGGACAAATTGCTGCTGCAGGTCAGTACCAAGTCTCCCACCCCTGGCAGCGAATTGCGCGTCGCGGAACGTTTCGCTGCGTGCTGGGCTGTGTCGTTGAAGTGTGGTTTGGTTATAGGCGTTTGTGAATCAATATCGTTCCGGTTAAAAATTCCACAAAGTGGTGGCAATTTCCCATGTTCAGAACGCCCAAAAATCATATTGGTTGTGATATATCCCCTTATATCCGCATTTGGATATGTTTGGCTGGTTTACTGGGGGGTGCATACCAGTTAGCAAGATTTAATAAGTTGCTACTGACCATGTTATATCGCACTTGTATCTGGATCATATATCATGATTTACATTTGTTTACATATACATATAATATACATATCATATACATATCATAACATAATACAGTAATGTGTATAGATGGATCTAAATCACTTAAAAACTATATCCCACGTTATGGATCATATCCTGCTATGGGATGCGCCTGCGAGTCCGGTGATGGTGGAGGCTTTGCCGCCCTTCTTCACCACCAAACGGGTCATCTCTGCGAGGCCTGGGGAAGCTCGAAAGATAGCCATTTTTGGTGGGGAAAACCATGGATAAACCATGGATATATGATATAAACCATAGAAATTCTGGCGGTCCGCGCTTTTTTGAGACCAAACCAGATGGTTTCACTTACTTTAAAGATTACTTTGAAAAAGTGCTCAGAGGGGATTGCAACCAGGAAAATCAGGAAACATGGTGATTATCACTGTGATATTGAAAAATAGGAGATTCCCCAAAGTCACTTCCAGAGTCTGTGGTGCAGGGTCGATTCGGAACGAGTGTAATCAAAACAAGCAGCATCTACGAATTCAGAACTGACCGTATAGACGTTGCAACTCAAAATCAAAACAGAGCTGAAACAGAGCTGAATACAACTCAAAACAGAATCAATCCCATGATGACAGTTCATGCCATCTCCTAATATGCAATATCTTGGACCCCTAAAATGGTTAGATCATGTTAGATCCAATATAAGTCCGGGCTTCTGAGGTGTGTCTATATACAGTAATAGGTTTCTTGGGAAGGGGATACAGAACCGGAGCCGTGGATCATCTCCAGAGTTCCGACCGTCAACGCACCCATCATCCTACGGACGTTTTTCGAGAGGTATGTTCCATGAAAATCCATTGAACTGCCAGATGATCTTGTTGATGATTCAATGGATTGGTTTAAGGGAAAATTTACAGGAAAGCCCCATATTTAATGGGGAAATCCATGGTTTCCTGTAAAATTTCCCTTAATCCAATCCATTGAATGATATATCACATTATATCCCCATTATATCACCAAAGAGTTGGTTTAAACCATTTTTCTTGCTTCACATCGGATATAGTTTTCTTGTATAATTGGTTCACGTTGGTTCTATATCTCCTAATAAATCCCCATTCATATAGCGGAAATCTCTCCCCTTTAGTTCCCCATCCTGTCATATCCATTATATCAATTATTTCCCATCATATCATCCATATAATTTCATATAATCATATAATCTCACCAGTTGATCATTAATCATTATATAATCTTCCAGTTGCTAGAAACTTCCACGTCTTCCATGGGTGCAAATCCTCCACACCGGGACCATCCTTCCCATCCTTCCCTCCCAAAAACCTCCGCACCTCGCGTGATCAACGCGGCCCGCGCGTTGGCGCCGAAGCCGAAGCCGTCCGAGGCACCGCAGGCGATGGCCAGGACGTTCTTCAGCGCGCCGCAGAGCTCCGCGCCGATGACGTCCGTGGCGGTGTAGACGCGGAAGTTCCGCGTGGCCAAGGTCACCTGGACCTGTTTGGCCACCTGTGGAGAGAGATGGGATAGGGATACTATATATGGATATTATGATATTGAAATGTGTATATATATAGAGAGAGAGCTGGATCTGTATATTGTAGATGTGTATCATGTATCTTGATGATTCTTGATGTATCTTCATGTCATCAGAAACACATATAAGCCGTGGTTCAATTAAAGTTCATGAAGTGCATGAAAGTCACGCATGTCGCTGAGATGTTTTTTTGTGTTTGGCCCCAATTTTCTCTGACCTCCGAGCCTCCGAGTCATGTGCAGCACAGGTTACACTTGTGGGCAAGCCAACTCCGATCTCTTTGGCAAACGAAGGGCCACTGACCACTGCCAACTTTGCGTGGTACTTTCCAGGCAGTTCATCCACAAGGATTTCATATGGAGTTCGCAGACTCTCTTTCTCGATACCTCCAACATGGCATCCAAGGATGACTTGGATAGGATCAACACGTCATGAACATCAGCAAAGTCATGAGAACATGTGAGAACCATGTGTCTACGGAAGGTGGTGGATCAGTGGATGTGAATTAATGTGAGTTACGTGTGTTTCTTTGCTTTGCTTGAATGCCGTTCCGGACATTAGAATAATGGGTCTATACATTATATTATATTATATATATATATTTATAGACACATTATATTGTATAGATGCATAATGATGCATATATAATCTGCATTCATCCTTCAGGAATCTGCACTGTTTCGACCTGGTGATGGGTCTACTGGAAAGGAAGTGCTGGGTCGATGGCAGTGAACCATCAGATTTCCATGAGGTCCACCCTCATTTTCATGGGTTCATTAAATGTTGAATAGGGTTTTCATGTTCCATCATCTCTTCATGGATCTTCATGGCATATCCTGGAATTTCAGAATGATTCTTTCATTTAAAGTTACATAAAGTTACTATACATATGTGCGGCGTCCGTCTTTTTGTCAACAGGCTTTTCTGGCGGGCCTTTGCTGCAGCAAACCAAAGGGACCCACCAGGGTAAGTGGCTCTGGTACTCCACCAGCCATTTCTCAATGAAGGGTGTCGGAATGATCAAGTAGACCCTGGGCGTCGGAATGCTTTTCAATGAGAGATCGAAGACTTCACAACCCGAATGGCCCCATGCCCGATGCATCTGGATGAACTACCATTCACCAACCCAAAACATGCTTTGAAGCATTGTACCAAGTGGTTTCAAGATGATGATGCTCCTTTCTTGGCCACAAATGACAACAATGGATTCAACATTGCTTGGCTGCGTTGGCCATATTATGTAATTATTATGTCCACACCAACCTTTTCTCTCAACTGAGGCACTGTTCAGCGCCATTGACAGCGTCTGCCACGTTGCTACTTGCGATGATTTTCTGGCTCAATGGAATTCCTGGGCAAGATTGCTGCCGAACTTGAATGCCACATCTAAGACATCTCTGTTTGGTGAATGTACAAACAAAGGATGGAGTTGAAAGCCAATTCCTGCCTGCCAAATAGATGCTGTTCTCATGCTTCTCATTGATGCTTTGAACCACCTGCCAAGGACGGTTTTTTGGGGTCGCCAGATGGGCCTTGTCTACTAGGAAATGCACAACGACGCCAACAGTTCCACCTCCTCTTCTCTGGCCCACAGCTGCACTGTAATTCCTTTGTTGGCCAAATGATTGGCCATTGCAGTTCCAAAGGCGCCTGCGGCGATGAAAAACGATTGGAGATCTGTGTTTCAAGAGTGGGAGTTGAAACACAGAAAGTCAATGATACCAATGAAACCCAGCAGTTTGGCCGCTTCAGATTCGTAGACATATGATATATATATATATTATAGATATATATAATAATATATGTAATTATATGTAGACATGCACCCAATGCACCCCCAGAAAAACCCTTCAAAATCAATGGAACTGTCAGCAGAAAGTCCGGCCTCCGCCAAGAACCGCAACTTTCCGAACAGGGGAGGGTTGGTGCGCTGGGCCACGCTTCGGAGAGGGCCCTTGGGGGGGCCCCATCGGTGGCGGTTTCGGACCGCTGGGCCCGCTGGGAATGCTCATGGCAAGGCCACGCTGGGCAGTGAAGATGAAAGGAGTTGAAAATCATCCAAGATTTCAGGCATTTCATGGAACTTCAATGATTCTCATGATTTTCATTGTAGGCCAAGTCGAAGTTGCTTGTTCAACCAGCTATGAACTTTGATTTTTCTCAAGTGTAGCATGGATGTCATGAGCAAAGGGTGACATACAGGGTGCTCATTTGACTCGTTCTTTAAAAATGCCAGCAGAATGACAAAAAGAGAGGTTCCGCCGCTTGCGCAAAGTGTGTTGATTCACCGCCCGGTCACATTGGTACGATGTTGAGAAGCTACGTAGGTTTATAGTTTATACACTTCTGTGTTACAATAGGTCACATGGAGGTTTCCATAAATGGGGTACCCAATAGCTGGATGGTGTATAAGGGGGTACCGCTATTTTAGGAAACCCCCACATCGGCATCGCAGAGTGTACCACCCAAAAAAAGTGTCTAGATCCGACACAAGTTTGAAAGAGCAAAGGCGCCAATACGATAGATGGGCAATCACGCATGGTTGTCCATTACTGGTATCATGATTCGGCAATCTGTTGATATATTTGCTTATATCTTGGTCAATCAACTTGAGAGGGGGAACACGAAAGGTAGGTAAGCAAGGAAGGAACCGAAGAAAAAATAAAGGGGAGAGGGAGGGAAAAATACATAAAGTGGAGTCTGGTAAAAGCGACGCGGCCATTTTTTTTCCAAAAATATAAAGGGGAGTCTAGTAAAAGCGATTAAAAGGCTTCGGCGATGTGGTTGGGGTTGGTGGTAGTTGTGGTGTTGGTGGTGTTGGTGGTGCTGGTGGTATTGGTGTTATTGGTGTTGTTGGTATTGGTGTTGTTGGTGTTGTTGGTGTTGTTGGTGGTGGTAGTGTTTCTGGTGTTGTTAGTGTTGTTAGTGTTGTTGGTGTGGTTGGGTTTGTTGGTGGTGTTGGTGTTGTTGGTCGTGTTGTTGGTGTTGGTATTGTTCGTGTTCGTGTTGTGTGTTGTTGTTGTTGTTGTGTGTTGTTGTGTGTTGTTGTGTGTTGTTGTGTGTTGTTGTGTGTTGTTGTGTGTTGTTGTGTGTTGTTGTGTGGTGTTGTGTGTTGTTGTGTGGTGTTGTGTGTTGTTGTGTGTTGTTGTGTGTTGTTGTGTGTTGTTGTGTGTTGTTGTGTGTTGTTGTGTGTTGTTGTGTGTTGTTGTGTGTTGTTGTGTGTTGTTGTGTGTTGTTGTGTGTTGTTGTGTGTTGTTGTGTGTTGGTGTGTGTTGGTGTGTGTTGTTGTGTGTTGTTGTGTGTTGTTGTGTGTTGTTGTGTGTTGTTGTGTGTTGTTGTGTGTTGTTGTGTGTTGTTGTGTGTTGTTGTGTGTGTTGTGGTGTGTTGTTGTGTGTTGTGGTGTGTTGTGGTGTGTTGTGGTGTGTTGTTGTGTGTTGTTGTGTGTTGTTGTGTGTTGTTGTGTGTTGTTGGGTGTTGTTGTGTGTTGTTGTGTGTTGTTGTGTGTTGTTGTGTGTTGTTGTGTGTTGTTGTGTGTTGTTGTGTGTTGTTGTGTGTTGTTGTGTGTTGTTGTGTGTTGTTGTGTTGTTGTTGTGTTGTTGTGTTGTTGTGTGTTGTTGTGTGTTGTTGTGTGTTGTTGTGTGTTGTTGTGTGTTGTTGTGTGTTGTTGTGTGTTGTTGTGTGTTGTGGTGTGTTGTGGTGTTGTTGTGTGTTCTTGTGTGTTGTGTGTTCTTGTGTGTGTTGTGGTGTGTTGTGGTGTGTTGTTGTGTGTTGTTTGTGTTGTTGTGTGTGTTGTTGTGTGTGTTGTTGTGTGTTGTTGTGTGTTGTTGTGTGTTGTTGTGTGTTGTTGTTGCGTTGTTGCGTTGTTGTGTGTTGCGTGTGTTGTTGTGTGTTGTTGTGTGTTGTGGTGTGTTGTTGTGTGTTGTTGTGTGTGTGTTGTTGTGTGTGTGTGTGTTGTGTGTGTGTTGTGTGTGTGTGGTTGTGTGTTGTTGTGTGTGTTGTGTGTGTTGTGTGTGTTGTGTGTGTGTTGTGTGTTTTGTGTGTTGTGTGTTGTGCGTTGTGCGTTGTGCGTTGTGCGTTGTGCATTGTGCGTTGTGCGTTGTGCATTGTGCATTGTGCGTTGTGTGTTGGTGTTGTTGTTGTTGTTGTTGTCGTCGTTGTTGTTGTTGCTGTTGCTGTTGGTGTTGTTGTTGTTGGTGTTGGTGTTACCCCTGCAGCGTTTTTGCTCGGTTCCGTAGTGGCCGAAAATCGTCAAATCGGTGGTGTTTTCGCGTGTTTTTGCAACTCTCGGAGCAAAAAACACCGTAGATACCGATGTTTTTGGCGGGTCGGAAGCCCAAAACCACGGTATTTACGATGTTTTTTGCCTCTGGTAGTAAAAAGCACGGTATTTACAGTGTTTTTTGGCCAGCACCTAGCAAAAACACTGGTATTTACGGAGGTTTCACCATGTAGCAAAATGTGGTTTCTTGATCCGAAAAGAACAAAAATACTGTAAATTACAATGTTTTGAGTCTGCTCTGGTGTGGAGGGGGGGGGGAGTACTAAAATGACTAGCAATCTCCTGAAGAATCAGGTAACGGGGCTGGTCGCCCTCCCCTTTACTTCGTAAAGTAAAACTCAAGGTAGCCCCTCTGGAGCTACCTTTCGTGATAATACACCACACATCACGTGGGTGTCCAAAATAGGGCATCCCAATCACGTTGCTTCAATCAGACGAACGATTGCAAACCAGTGGATGCAATGGGTGTCCCCAACAGATCCAGGACCATCCCCACAAAGCTCAGGAGCGGCCTCGAAATCAGGGTAGTCCTCGAAGAGGGGCGGCTCAAACTGCGACTCTCCAGTGTCCTGCCCCCCTTGCCCAAAAACGTACATCACCATGACTGGCAATCTGCGGCAATCTTGAAAGGGAAAATGGAACAAATCATAATTACAAGGGACAATGATGTTCCAAACCGTTGGAATTGGATTTTTACCAACATTTTTGGAGACAAAAACGAAGTTTAGAACTTACCCCTTGCCCCACGCCGATCCACCTGGTTCATGTAGACATTCTGGCCATCCACATCCTGGATACGCACCTGAGCAGCAAACGACTCCAGCTGTGGAACGTTCAGCAAACGATTCGGGATTTCGTCTTAGGGGGCGATTCTTTGAAACACAGGCACATCAAGTCAAGAGTACGTGCAACTTCAGATCATACTTGATAATACAAGTGAAAAAAAAAACATCGGTGATGATTTGCCAGAAACTACAGGTTGGAAGGAAACATGGACCCAAAAGAGCCGTTCGGAAGATGGTGTTCCTATGTTTTCTGCAGTACCCCGCCTTGACAAACAGGACTTCTGTTAGCAGATCTTGTCCAAAAAATGTGAGGATATTGGCTTGCCACAATGATGATATAATAAATAAGAATGAAGCCAAGCCAGGGGGCCCAGGGCGATGGCAATTCTGGCTCATCCTGCGCAAAGGGAACTGCCAAGCGGCCCAAAATGGTGTGTTGCTTCTCCGAAAATTGGATGCTTTCAGACATAGAAATGATCCAGCCACTTCCTTTATTAGAAGACTGGCAAGCCAAGAGATCCAAGAGATCCAAGAGGCTCCTCTGGCCCTGCAAGCTCTTGCTCTGGAAACTCTTCCATTGCTCATTGAAACGGTTTCGTTTAGACAGAGCAACAGTGGCTAGTTCTGGCTGGTTAGGGTTTCTGATGGCCGGAGGAAAATCGGGATCTTCCAATTGACAAACAGACTGTACTGAACAATGTAGAAGAGTAAGAAGAAAAGAATAAGGAACAATGACTTCAATTGTCTCTCTATACTTCAGGTTTGGGTGCCTGGAACCACATGCGTTTCCGGGTCAGCACAATTCTATTGGTGTTCATTCTTCAGGGGGTCATGGCTGTCTTCAATGGCAAGGTGTCTACGCCTGATTCGAAATTGCACCTATGGTCATTGTGGTCAGATTCCATGGCATGATTGGGTGGTTTCTTAACAAATGGAGGATCCCCAGTCGTCGCCATGGGCTTCAATACAAAAATGGTCATTCATGACTTGCATGATTTGGGGACCATGACTTAGGAAACCTCCATTTGACTACCGAAGCACAACAGCTGCAGCATCCAAGGCGACCAATTACAAAAGCTGTGGCCGGATATGGCCGGAGATCGGCGGCCGGAGATCGGCGGCCGGAGATCGGCGGCCGGAGATCGGCGGCCGGAGATCGGCGGCCGTTGAGAATCCATCTCTTTGAATCAAGTCACATCCATTCTGCAGCTGATCTTTTTCACCCAGCTACGGACCGGTACGGAGTCTTTCATTGGCAACTGCAGCGGGCATTTGTACTTTGAAATGCAGCTACAACCAAAAGGCCGCAGGTGTGACACCGACAAGTTGATTTGATACGCAGGTCTTTGTGTGTTCCATCACTTTGAGTCATATTCCTGCAAAAGTCGTAGGAAAAAAATGCCCGTACTTCATTGGTTCAAAGTTCAAGCTATGGTTCAAACTATGGTGGATAGATCTGCGACGATCTGCGTCTTCCAATAGGAAACTGGGAAATGACTCATAAGCATATAGTCACTAGCAATATTGAATGCTTTCAGAGTGTGGAAGGTCACCCCGTCTATGAACAAATTTCCATTCAAAATGTCATTTCAACACATTGCTAGTAAGATGAAAAGACACTAAGCACTTAGAAAAATCGAAAATTGAGATAGTCATAACTTCGAACCTTGAGGTACTGGTACCAATGTCAAGGTGATAGGACTCAAAACTAGAAACTTAGAACCTTGAAGTAGCAACATGTAGCAACAACATAATCCCTTGTCATTGATGTATGTAACAATTTATTTGATGATGGCATCCTATGCAGCAAAATGTCCTTAAAAACAGCCGCTGGTCACACCGGTCAAAGGAAGATCACCAAACAGCTGATGTTGTCGTTGGAGCCCCGCGCTAAAGCTTCTTCCACCTGTCAACGACAATTGGGACAAATCATCCACTTTTGCACTCCATTTTGGGATGTAACCATCCAAACATTGGAATAATGTTCAAATGTGTTTTTTCAAAAAAACTATGAGTTGCCCTAAATTGTCCATTTTGGGGGACCATTTCTGGGTTGCAATGACATTGGTTACTTGCAATACCTCACAAAATCGTATAGATCCCAGGAGGAGAACGTATGACGGCCATGGAAATCATGTCTTATCCTCAACATAGGTGAGGACTGGGTACCCCAAAAAAATGTTGGTTCAACACTGAAGAATGAATCGTCTGGGTACCCCAAGAATTTGGTTTGAAATTTGGATCACCACCGGTCACCCCACAAAAATGAAAGATTCAACAGATTCAATACATTTCGAATCATTTCAAATCATTTCAATTTTCCAACTGGCCCAAAAAATTCACCCGGCGCGGCCCTTCCAATTTTCATTGGATCCTCCTTCCAGGTTTTGAAACTCAGCAAAGGAACCAGCATCCGCGCAAGAATCTCCGCCATGGAGCGTCCATCCGCTTCCTGCGGCTGCCGAACTTCCATTTGAGTCATTGAGTCATGGTGGAAAAATCAAGACTTCCTTTACCAAAAATATGAAGAAAATAAACAGCATGAAATATGTGATCATATGACAAACCC